AGGACTCGAACTTTAATCAATTCTTACTTTTTCTACAGGACGGTGAATGGCGTACCCTCAGAGTCCCAGTGCCCGAAGGCAAACACCACAAGTATGACATCAGCTACTCTTTGGAGGACAAACAGCTGCCTATTGGAGAATACTTAGCTGTCGTGAAGGTCAAGAACTCCAAGAGCTGGGGCGGTTCCAACGAACCAGTTACTGTTAATATTCGTATGTATTTTTTTTATTTTATCAATATTCCGTTAGCTACAAGATGGCCACTGCTGAACATAGGCTGCCTATTTTTTTTATATTGGAGAGAAACTCGTTGGGAGATTCCTTCGTTGGTTATGTGGTGGTTTGGGCATGTACCGAGTAAGAGATTTCGGGTTCGATTCCCGGTTCAGCCAAAAAAAAAACAATAATAGCCGAATTAATATAGGTACTCATACTACAAAAGTATTTTAAAATTCAATAACGCTTATAAATTGTTGAATAAAAAGATCTGGATTCGATCTCTAGATTACTGTATTGAATTTTTTTTAAATTCTTAACGTTTCTGTAATTATAGGAAAAATATCATGTTCAACAATTCTGCAGTTTGATAAGTGTTTCTAATCCTTTTTAACTTTTAACGCCATCTAGTGACAGGTGGCTTTACTTACATTTTTTTAAGAAATTAATTGGCAAATGTATAATGTTGTTGTTTTTTTGCACTTTTTATTTTTGTTTTACACTCCTTTGTTTTTTGTAATTATTAACATGTTTTATTATTTTGCTTTTTCTTTTTTTTATTTAGAAGATCCACAGTCGCTGTACATCCAGACCGCGTCAGGTAATTTTTTGTTTGATTTTTTTTTTGCATTTTTTTCTGTTATTTTATTAATATTATTGTTCAACTGACAGCTGTCAAGTGAGAAGAACTGTCAATAATATATTTTTGTCTCTTTTTTCAGTGTACCGTGATAATACAGGTGGTGCGCATTCCATTCGGCCAGTATACTCTGCACTAACGACAATCCTGATGTACCTTCTCGTTCGAATGCTTTAAAATAAAACTAGCATAACTTATTTATTGTTATCAAAAGTATTCGATTTATTATCCGAGACAAAACGATTTTACGCTGTTAATTATATAATAAATTAATCGCTTCAAAATTTTGCTGATATCTTAAAAAAAACAGTAAAAAATTACTGATTTTTTTGGAAATTTTTTTTAGGCTGGTAATCAAATTTTTTCTGTTTGTTTTGTCTCCGTTCCATGAGTTTTCTTTATATATTATTGTACAGAATACATGGTAAGGAAATTAATTTTTATTTTTAGTATAAGATGAAATTTTGAAACTTAAGTTTTGCGAAGATACTTAAAATTTGATTGATAAATTGTTGGTTAACTTCTCTGAGGTACTACATGGCGAACGAGCCAATCAGCTGGTAGACTTTATTCTTAAAAATATAAAAGGCATCTAAATGCGTCCTCACGAAAGGAAGATCAAAATATCAAAATAAAAATCAAAAATCTATTAACTGACAGGTTCATTGTCTTTAATTTCCGTTACATTTAAATATCGAAACGTTAAAAAAGAAAATTCAAGACTTAAGAATTAAATAAAAATCCGCTTTTATTAAAATAAATTTTGGAAGGCATTTCAAAAACGCAGCTTTTAAAATAAATTTAATTAAGAAAAACTATGTTAAATAAAAATGACAGCTACTTCGACCAGCTTCTAGCAATGTAAATATTTATTGTTGTTGAGAAAAAAAAACAAATTCTAATTTTAAATACCTATTACACTGAATTTAGTACTAAACTTTTTTTTATTAAATCGATTCCTTTTTTCTATCCAAATTAAAAAAAAACACATTAAGGTATATAAATTAGTAAGTCTTTATTTAGTCTGCTATTTTTTTAGTTTATACATTTAGTCGATTTTTTCTCACACTAAATATAGTTTCTTATTAGGTACATATTACCAAAGTGTATTTAAGACCACATTAGTATGTATAAGTTTATTTTAATTATGTATTACAATTGATTAAATGCTTATTAATTAATTATTAAAAAATATTTAAACTGTAGAATTTAATTAGGAATCTTTGGCTTTCGATAAAACTATCGTACGATGTTTTTCTTCTATTTTATATTATGCTAACGCTTTTAATGTAAATGGTTAAAAGTACAATAATTAATAGTTATTTTTTTAAATGTAATAGTGACGTTCTAAAGACAAGTGTGGCTTTAGGATTTTTAGTTTTTATTTTTTTAACAAAAAAATAATTGACATTTTTTTGTGTCAAATCTCGAATATCATTACCGCATCTATTGGGAATTAGTAGGAGTATAATAATACTGTTTTTTTTGTGTTTTTTTTTATATAACAAATGTTTTGTAACATTGTTTTAGATGTTTATATTTTTTATTTTTTTATTGTTTTTTGGGAAAATTAGAAACCAACTCCTAAAGCTAAACTTGTCAATAATTTTAATAAAATAATAAAATAGTGATTAATATGTACAAGTCAAGATAGCTGCCATAAATCCTTTGAACGCACAAAATTTTAACAATACAATCATCATACAAAAATACTATAAATTTTCAAACAATTCTATTTCATTCTTCCAAATCTGTACCTAATACCTATTAGTCTGTAATTCGAATAAATAAAATAAAAAATCGACTATAATTAAAATTAAAATTACAATTTTAGCGTTCAAAGTGTTAAAGAGAAATAATAATAATAATAAGAATTTATATATTATTACCAGTTATAAAGATTTAGATTTAAAATCAATGTGCCTGTAATTTATTACAAATATACAACAGTTCCAAACAAGGTGCTTAGTTCTTTAAAATAAAATAAAATAGTTACATTCTTCCATTTTTAACTTAAAATATTAGTGAAAAATATTACCTACTAGTCTTTAATGTTTATTACAGAAAAGGGTTTTAAATGAAATACCATTAAATATAGATTTCTGGACATAGGAAAATTTTGCAGCTAACAACACTTTCTGTTTAAAAAAAACTATAATGAAGTAACAATTTTGGTTCTAAAGAAAATGTTATAGAAAGAATATTGTACCATACATACATAATCTCAGGCCTGTCTGCCATGGGGGTAGGCAGAGACTATGGAACGCCAATCGCTACCAATATTATACCAGTGAAACGTAATCAAGTGAAACATAATCAATTTATTATCATTTTTTGTGAAAAAGAAATAATCAAAATATTATTTTCTATCGATATTGTCGTGTCCATCACTATAATTATTAGTTAAAAATAGTACACTTAATTTAAACTTGATGCAGTATCTAAACAATCATGTTATTTTTTTTTTGAAATCTAATAATATAAGACTTTGTTCAAAAAACAATTTCTATCACAATGTCTTAGCATTTTTACCATAATATCGATATGTAATAGTGAAGTACAATAGTCGATATTCCTTTTATCGATATAGTAGACATTTTATCGATAATAGTTCGGTGTATTGTAAAGTAATTGTTCACGTAATGTATTTGTGCCTTCTTTATACCTAAAATATAAGAGGGTGATATATTTTTTCTTTAACGAATAAACGATTAATGTTTGTAAATATAATTAAGAATGTCGTTTTATTTTCATTTACCTTTTGTGAAGGAAAACCTTGTTATTCGAGTAACTGCTTGAAGAATTACCAAATAGGAGGAACTCATCAACAGCCTATAAATGCCCACAGTCACTGCTGAGCAAATCCTCTTCTCACACGGAGAAGGTTTCAGCATTAATCACCACGCTTGCTCAATGCGGGTTGGTGATTTCAAACTTATAATTGGAAATTATAAGTGTGTCAGTCAGTGGTGTCTGAATAATATTAGAAAGTATATAAAACTCGGTAAAAGTCACATTGGTACTTACCGTTGGTAGGTTTCGAACCTGCACCCTCATGCATGAGACGGAGGCGTCTTAAACCTTCGGGCCACCACGACACGCACATATATGAGGGACTCGGACTTCGTTATCATGCAGAATTTAATTTAGAACTTTGAAAAGTTTAAATTATAAATAATCATTTCATTTCATAACTAAAATAGGAATAATATCTTCTACGTTATTAAATAATAAATACTGTCTAAGCTCAAAGAATGAAACCCAGTCAGAATTTTTAATTTTTATAAAGATGTTTATTTTGTGAAATAGTTTTCTATTTAAAAATAACAATATATTTTACATTTCCAAATGTAATCATGATCATAATAATTCTAATAAATAAAACTGTGTCATCATGATATTTGCATTTTAATAAAATACTATCAAACATACATAATCATTAAAAATACAAGGCGTGGATTAAATATATTCGCAATAAATAAAGTAGAATATACCAAATCATTACCTCTTTATCTAAAATATACTTCAATCTACATCTGGAGCAAAGAAACAAAGCCACAAGTTTGGAACGAATGGAGTTTCTTGCTCGTTCTTCTCCATTCGAATGTACATTTTGGAATGAGCACCTAACTTCACCTAGCTTCACTGACGGACTGACTTACAGACTATTATTTATTTTGCATTTGTTGACGTTTCAAAAGTACTTAATTTTTTGTTCTTTTTTGGCAACCGAATCTCCGATATGATGTTGTCGACTACACTGACAGTGTCAGGTTGTGACGGCAGATTAATGAACGTACTAAATTATGGTTTAATTGAAATAAATGCTTTGACTTTGAATTTGACTAGTGTTTTTTCTTTTCCATTTTCTGATAAATATTTTCCGATATAAGTGGTAAATATTTTATTAAACTGTCAAACACCAAGCGGTCACCGGTGACCGCAACCTATTGTTCTATAATTGTGTCTACAAAACCGGTACTCGACGAGTTAATTGGTAACGTAGGTATGTCGTATAAAAGTAACCGTTAAAATGAGAGCACTTTGTTGTAAAAGGTAAAATAATTTTTAAGCTATAAAGAGTTTGATAAAATGAAAAAATGCGACATACAGCCGAATTGATAGCCTCCTTCTTTTTGGTCGGTTCAAAAAAACGCTAGTGGCACCGTTTGTTTGCTCCCAAGGGTATTTTACATTTCATCAGGATCAAACACATGAACGTGTCCTTGAGAAACTTCAATAAAAGCTATGAGTACATTATAATAAGTACCTCCTATTGTAATAATAATACCAAGTGTGAATAAACACAAAAACTTCAGTAATCTCCACCTATGCTGCCCTAAGCCTGGATATGCCCAATCTATTATCAGCTCAATAAATGGAGGGTATAGGAATAAAAATGGGGCGGTGCAGGAAGAGCCTACCTGTAATAAAAATAAAGATTTTTTACAACGGTCTACTGGTCTACTGGTCTACTGGTCTACTGGTCTCTTGGTCTACTGAACTACATTTACGAAAAGGGGTTTTATTTCATCAGTTGAGCAAATTATTTCCATATAGCGACCAGCTGTTAGATGTCTGATTGAAGTCTTCTGATTTTCAAAATATTTTGCAAAGATTAGAGCCAAGAACTGTGACAAGAATTCTCAATAGGCTTATTCGTTCTGTCCAAGAGATTTGTAGCGCAACACATGATATAACTTTTACCATCCATATGCAAAAGTGAAGATATGTAACCTTCACTTTAAAAAAAGTCAGATATTCGACTGCACGGTTGGTGCGGTGGCTAGGCAACCGGCTGTCGTGCAACGTATCACGGGTTCGATTCCCGCACGGAACAACACTTTGTGTAATCCACAAATTGTTGTTTCGGGTCTGGGTGTCATTGTGTATGTGAACTTGTATGTTTGTAAACGCACCCACGACACAGGAGAAAATCCTAGTGTGGGGCAACGTTTAAAAAAAAATTGCTCTAAATAAAATATATACTTACAATTCCCATAATCCTCCGTATATTTGGAAAAGAATAGCTGATGGCGGTAACGACACAGACTAGTATGGTTCTATAAAGTCTTTCATAAAGTCTGTAGCGAGTTGCTAGATGCATCTTTCTGAGGTAGAACCAGAGTATATCAAAACCGACGTGAAATGTTGTCGCGTAGATGACATAGACCATCAGACAGAGAAAAACCTTTAACTGGATTGGGAAGCTGGAATTGGAGAAAAAAATGAAGTAACAGAGAAGGATGGAAAAGATTAATTAGAATGACAA